GCGACTTTTCGAATTACCCTGTATTTTCAGAACGAAAATAATAATCTGACAGATGAGGAAATATCCTCATCCTCATCCTCATTTCTCATTTCCAGAGATATGATGAAAAACATATACCAGATTTCAAAAACATCTAAGTTGTTTCGTGACATCATGCACATAACTTTTCTGGATTATGAAGTAAGAAATCATGTGTGTGATCATACAAGCGATAGATATATAATACAAATACAAATTGGAGCCTGTATCTAACTCTGGAAATCACCCTGTAGATGAGTGAATGAGTGGATTCAATTTTCTATGCGGCACATAATCGTGATGTTCATGTTCTTGTTGAGAGTTTTTGAAACGAAACACACATTTCAAAAAAAATATATCTCCGGAAATGAGAAACGAGGATGAGGATGAGGATATTCTCTCATCAGTCAGAACATTATTTTCGTTCTGAAAATTTCAAGTGACCTAGGACTCCCAGGTACTATAGATAGAGGATCTCAGAGTGTGAATTTCAAGTAATCATCATAAACATCTTCGAGATGAGACATTTCAATAGACAGAAACTTATTCAACTAAAATTCTTCAATATTTCTCCTCATATCCTCTATGCCTATGAGATATCAGGAATGGCAACAGTAAATGAAATGTGCTGTCAAGATCCGTTAGTCAATAACTTTACCGTATTTTCAAGATTATCAGTTGCATCGTAGTTTATTTTATGTTCAGATTGTTTTAAGGCCCATAGTAAACTGCAAACTGTAAGTGGGTGGCAATTATTCTATTATTTATGATCGTCATAAATAATCGGTCGACATCGCAATTTTAATATTTGAGATCAAGTCGTTGGTCACTGAGATATATTATACATATACGCAGTGTATAGTGTGTGGGATGAATATTTGTTTCCTTTCTACATATTTATTTATGGACAACAAGACTTGATATCATTTCAGAGAAACAGTTTCCGAAGGTATTCAGTTCTGCATTCATCATTCCATCTTTCAAGAACAGTAACACAGAAACTAGATAAGAAGCTTAGATCAAGAAGGAAGGTCAAAAAATATAATTAATGGACTGAATGTAGATCTTACCAAAGTGAGCTGGTGCTGCTCCATTTGATTTTGGATAGAATTATTTTGTTCCTCAATTTGGAATGATTGCAGGATAAAAACAAACAATGATAGCGCTAGAAGATTTCAGTGACTATTTGACTAATTACATAATCTGGTCAATCACAAGCCAAACTAGCTATCTTCCAATTCTGCTTGGTCTATCAGTGTTGGTGTTTTCAACGATTTAACCATGGATAGCGAAGCGAGGTCTGTCAGTTTGGCATGAAATAATTATAACTGTGAGGAATTGATCGCTCATTCATATTAAATGATTTTTATGCTCTGGGAACGTGAAATAGTCTAGCAAAATACCACTCTGTTCTGAATATCTTCTCATAATTCTGTCATTCATTGTTAACTCGAATTCGTGAATAATGAACCGACAGAACATCGTGACTTATGATAATTCCAGAAATAAATTTGAAAATGGAAGATATTTCAGATTCACCTTCATATAATTTTCGAAAACGGGGGGTTGACAATCCTAGGAATTCTCAAGGAGTGGATATCATTTTTTGTGTGCTAGCAGGAGTAACTTCAGTTTGCTCTCATCAAATGTGAATCACAACAATTCAACTTGAAATGCAGATATTACCAAGCTGAAATAAATGATCAAATTGTTTCAGAATCGAGAGTCCCTTAGCAGGGCCACAAACTTCTTGGCCATTCTGCAATATTATGGATGAACCTAGAAAACTCTAGAGTGTTCTAGAACATTCTGAAACATTCCAGAATATTCTCCAACCTTCTGGAAGGTGTTATCGTCGAACATCCAGGAGCCTCCTAAATTATTCAGGAACATTTTGGCACATGTATGTTTATTCAACGTTCATCCAACGTCGAATCGGTGGAAGATATGTTACTCATTGAACTCTCAACGTTGTCAACGGTTATGAGTGCTATGAAAATAACGTTATATGAATACGTTTCAATAAAATATGATCAACGTTATTATCTATGGATTCGTTGATGACTTTCAAATACCATTTGAGTGAGGAACGGTATTTATCGCGACAGTTTCACCGATTTTAAATCGGTGATTACTCAAAATTCTTTATTTCATCTGACACCTTGAAAACATACTGGAGACAAATGAGACAATGGGTATATCTTACCTCCTACGGGAAATGATATTTTTATTGCCTTCCGTGGGAGTGAATCGACAGCTTTGTTTCCCTGAATGAGGGGGCAAACGCCTCCTTATGATTCAATGAGTAGATAAATTATTATCCTGCATTTCACCAAAAATTTTACATTTATTTGTATTGTCATTTTCCCAGGAATCTTTTGTTTTTCAAGTAGGTTCAAGTTTACCAAATTGATTTGATGCCTTTATCGAACAGGGTATTAGAAATTTGAGAACATCAAAGATAAAACTTTTCCACTTCTGATAAAATCTGAATGTCAAATATTTCCCAAGGTGCTATTTTGAGGAGTCCTTGATAGTGTCTTTAATGAATTTTCATCTAATTATATTAACTATAGGCACTTTGAAAGTTATTCAAGAACAACTAAAAGTGGATTTATGCAGCATCATTCAACAATTATCAAGTAACATTTATCTTTCAACAAGTAGCAATTAAAAGTTGAACTTCCTGTTTTCAATGAAGGTGTTTATGCAGTCATTCAAAAATTATTTATGAACAAGTAAAAAGTAAGAAGTTGGCCAACTTTCAACTTTCCTACTTGGATTGAACCAGGTTCCCTTCTAGTGCGCAACTAGTACTAGTACGCAGATGAGCGCGGATTGGTTTCATTGATGCTGGTAGAGAAGGCATGGATTGGTCAGACCAATGTCAGACCTGATATCTGACAGATGTTATGATATTTGTTATTAAACAATTGCAATCAACAGAATAACTGTGAATAAAATAACCCAGTCTCTTGCAGATCAGAAAATATTATGAAATTCGAAATTTCAGCTCCTTATGTAAATTGTAAACGACAAATTTGTAAGGTTACCTATTGCTTTGATGGTCTAGATTAAGGGCATGTGCGCTTGCGTACTATTAGTCCATCAATTGTTAATTTGGTTTGCATAAATGTCAATATTCTCATCACTTGCTAATTGATAATTGAAGGGGCAAGTGGATGAAGGGGTCAAGTAACATTCTCTGAAAATATTCGGTTATGTCATGGAAGAAAGTGTTACATGCATATTATGTAACTTGCCCTGTCAGGATTTGTTTCTATTCTTCATATCTGAGTAGATACACAGTGGCAGAAGGGGCTATGTTACACTAAACATCAAAAACGCAATGAAAGAAGGAGCTATGTGCCCATTATCTACATGTCAGGAATTGGAAGAAGGGGTTATGTAGGCATGAATCATATGTATATCAAAAAATGATATGATAGCAAAATGCGGAAATCATAAAAAATTAACCCGAAACTATTCCTCACAATTGCATAAATCAAATTGTTAAACTAGCTTTCATTAAAAAATGCTAGCGAACTCTAGTAAAACCTAGATTACTTGATATTTGTTAAATGTTGCTGCATAAATTCACCTTAATTCCAGCAGCGTCCTTTTAGGAGCCAATGTGAGCCATACTGTGAAAACACATTATAGGAACTTGTCATCCAATTTTCTTGGTCCGATCTGAAATTTCCCACATTTTCTTGGATATCCTGTTTATTCAGTTTTGATTATTCCGATTGGTAAAACAATGTGATTTTTGAACATCGAATTCAGTATGAATTTATCAGGTCATAGTTTTCTTGATATCTTTGTATAAAAAGGTATATCGAGATAACAGATATCTATATAAAATGTTATATTACGAGTGCGCATTATTTATTCTCCACATTATAGAGAACAAATAAAGAAGGATTCTTAGTCACCTGGGAGCTTCTTTGTCATGTTCAAATCCAACGTGACCGGAAATGTGGTGCTGACGTCCCTCGACAGATATGGAAGACGGAGTTCCGGTGGGGGACGCGTGGCGAATTTTCAATTGTTTTTCTTGGGTAGGTCAGGATATCGACGAAAGTTATAATGAAAGGAAGGCATAAATATGTTCATAGAGATGACATCAAGTCCAGCAGGTGGAACAGTCCATATAGAATACAAAATGGTAATTGAAACTGTTTCAGTCTCACTCATTCTGATGCAGCAGTGGCTCGTGATCTCGCATATCTAACAATCTAACCCGATCTTAAGCTTCCTGTCACCTGATAAACATTATCCTGATCTGCCTAAGCATGAACTCACATTGTAATTGAATCAAACTTATCAAAAAGATGCGATATTAACGTTTAATTGGCAACACTAGCAAACTAGCCCTTCCTGATAAACATTATCCTAATCTTATGACCTCTTATTATACACGTACCTATTTCGAGTCTATTCATTAACTTTCTTCTTCTTATTTGTTTTTCTTCGTATTCTGACTCCTTGCGTTGTCAAGTTTACCATATCCGGTAAGTTTCATAAACTTTCATTGTATTTGAATCAGAGTTATCTGAAAGATGCGATAATAACTTTAAGTTAGCAACACTGCTTTGAGCGCCTTCGCTAGCAATGCCTGACGTTGCTTGCTATACGAGATTAGACGATGACTACCGAAGGCTGGCGAAGAATACGCCTAGAGCTTATTTTTTTATTTCGTTTTCGTGTTTCCTTTTTGTTTAAATGTTAAATTTTTCATTTGTGAATAAATGATGGACATGATGGAGCATCAAAAAAGTATTGACAAAAATGTTGGAAATGACCCCCATATAAATCAATGGGTACCAAGTCCGGTGAGCGAGTAAGCCAACCACTTGGTCCTACGAAATGTCTCAAGAACGTTATATGTTCAAGAAGAATTAAGAATTTTTGGTGAAATTCATTTTTTGAGAGTTATTGACGGTGGAAAGTGGACAACCCATGTATATAAATGAGCTTACTTTTTCACAGGTACTCCTACATGATCCAGTTGCATGTGAGCAACACATGAGATCTGAAACAAAAATAATATACATTTGTAGTAATAGCAGCAAATGAAGCAATCGGTGAAAATGGGCAAAAAACACATTTCATATAGGTGACTTCATTCGGGGTCACATATAGTGTCACTGATGACAATCGATTGAATTTTTCTTTTGAGCTTTTTGATAGGTAAATTTTTGAAGGCAGTGACATTTTGGGACAAATTATCTGATTTGTCTTCACTACACGTAATATATTGAAACAATTCTCATATTCTAATTTTATAGAAACAAGGAAAGAAAATCTCAAACATTTTGTGAAAATGAGTAATATTTGAAAATTTTGTATTCAAACCGGCAGCAGATTCAGCTGAGTGTAATTCTGATATTTCATCGATATATTATACGAGGTGCTTTCGAAATTTGAAATAAGTACATACAGGGTGTTAATTAATTGAGTGCCGATAATACAAGGTGGAAATCCTCGGGTGATTTCGAGCAGAAAAGTTTATATCAATATATGTCCTCAACCTCTTATTTTCTGCTCACGAGTGAGCTTTTCCACGCAGATACCTATGTATCTTCAGATTTTCAACTAAAAATTGAGAAAGAAATGCACATATAAAAATTGGGGTGATTTTTTTCTTCACCACCCACAGATTCAGTCGCTACTGGACTGAATTACTTCATCAAATAATACTCTTTATTTCATCTTATAGAGCGTATAATGTTTTGTATCTGTGAGAAATGTTGATTTATCTCAAACCGTTTTGAACTTTTCAACAAGAAACAATATTCAGATTCGTATTTTCAACACCCAACGACGCGTTTGAAAGTATATGTTCATTTGAACTTTTTTTTATTTCAACGAGTACCTACAACACACTGTTGAATTTTTTGTATTACAAACCAGACCACCCTGTATATTGGCGTGTTAAGAACTTCTTTAGAACACCCTGTATAGTTAGGTACCCCCTTTTTATATTAATTGAACCACCTGAGAACTATTTTTCATTACACGATTTGAAATGAATGTATTGGCATAAGAATATAGTATAATTTTCATGTCGGATATTTGCATATTTTATTCTGAAAGGCAACCCAACAAGTTATTATACGCCCTGTAGTAGAGTTTAAACGGGATCCTATCGTGCTATCCCGTGGGCACTTTGTTGCTAAAATGTAAAACCCATTTTTTATCATTCCTAAGACCTTTGCAATGCAAAATCACTTGGTCGTCCAAAAATCGTAGTTGGAGGGGAGTGGGGGGAGCCTTTTTTAAAAAAAAAGCCAATTTTTTTTTTCATCGGTTTTCAGATCTAAGATGTGAGATAATTCATTCCTCAAATTTGCATACCCATCCGGATATCAGAAATATTTTTTTTTTTTTATAAAAATACGTCGCAGCATTGTTGTATATGGAGAGCCTTCACACAAAACCGCTTGCCCTGGACACCCATATTTTTAAAATCATTTAACTCGCTCTACCTCGAAAAGTATTGGGTCTAGCAAAAAAAGACTTTCCATAAACGTTAAAGACCAAACATCAGAGAACATGTTTGTTTTTTTAGAATTTTGATTGGATAATTGGTTCACGAGAAAATTGAATAAATCGAACGGCATGTCGCGACGAACGGCGGCTAGCGCAGAGATGCGGGGAAGGGCGAGATTGCTATGCCTGTGTCAACCGAAAATCCACTCTACTGAGGGCGATGTTGATACGGTCGATTTTACCGTGAATTCACTGTTTTGTTGTAAATTCGAATGCATTGTTCTGGTAGCGCTGATTCCACTGAGATTACTAGTGATGAGTGATAAAGTTCTTGTCTATAAATCATATTATTAAAAGCGAATAATAACTTATTGCTAAGTTAACAATATTTAGAACTTACTTAGTGAGTATTAGGTACAGTTAGTATTTTTTTGTATCCTCTAGAAATGGATTTAACGATCAGCAGCAGCTCTGACAGTGAACTAGAGTCGAAAATCAAATTAAGACTTGCTTCTTTTCGTAAAACTGTCAATGGACAAGACGTTTTTATTCAAAATGTGTGTCTTATTTGTTTGGAAGGAGGAAAGCTGGTTATCTCTCATGAAAAATCAAAAAAAAATTTCATTGAATTCACGAAAGAACGTATGACAAATTGTCATGATGACAAATATATGCGGCATATATTCTCAAAGTTTGATGAATTAGAAAATCAAAGTTTTTTAAAATGGCACAAAAACCGTTATAAATCGTATACGAGCTCAAAGAACATTGCCTCGTACAAAAAATAACAAACTGACAGCTGATTCTCCAGCAGATTTTTGTAGAGCAGATATTTTTCAAAAACGTCCCTTGCGGACACCTTTTGATTCACAAAACGGTTTGATTGCTACTAGACTGCAGGGTTGGAATAAGTCATGACTTTTATGAAAAAGTCATCAAAGTCCGACTTTTTGAAATAAGTCAGACTTTTTTGAATTGATTGATTTGAAAAAAAACAAACAAATTTCATTTACCCAAAGCAAAATAGGAAAAAAGAAACAAAAACAATATTTTTATTCTCTTCAGAAATCTTGTAGAATAACATCATAATATAACATGTTATTTTTTCGAAACAAAATTAAAAGTGATGATAGAATACAAAATAATAGATACATATAGATCCAGTATTCATCCATAAAGTTCGTAACACATGGAGAAAAAGTTTATTAGTAGAATATCGAAACATTTTTTCTTGGAGATCTATTATGCATGTCGGACTACTTAAAAGTCAATTTTGACACATGTCACTTGATCAGTGGTATGGCGGTAAATTCAAAAAATCACGATGGCAAAAAGTGGGGTTGGATGGGAAGATGCCAGATGGAGTTATTAAAAAAAATAAAAATAGCTATTTTCAGTTTTCTCAAATAATGGCTGGAAACTCCATATGTGAGCATGAAATTGAATTCTATTCAACTTGTACATCATCAACATCACTACTGTCAGAAAAAAAATATGTTACAAAATTGAAGAATATTCGAAAAAAGATAGCTATTTCCAATTCTCCTCCAAGAATTGCTCGAAACTGAATGTGGAATAGCAACTTAATAAGAAATGTTTATGGATATTTTGTTACCTAACCCAGTGATCACGTGACATGTGTCAAAATCGATTTTCAAGTTATCGGATATGCATAATGGATCGCCGAGAGAAAAAAATTCGATGATGTGATAATAAAACTGTTCTCATATGTTATGGACTTTATGGATGGTATATATCTGTTAGTAAAAATCTCTGTCATGCTTGAAATAACAAAGTCTTGCCAAAATACGATCGAACTTTTCAGTTAAAAGTAGCTAAAATCAAAGGTATAATAGTGCAATTTGTCTCATTTTTAAAAATTTTAATGAATTCATGACTTTTTCGAAAAAAGACAATGGAATTAATCCACGAATTAAATCACTGATTTAATTCATATGAATTAATTCATGCCAACCCTGTACTAGAGTCCCTCATTCTGCAAATGCACCACGTGATATTACGATATCTCATGTTATTATTAAGTATTTCGCCCTTCTCTATGATGATCAGTTTATTTTCCTCAGGTTGTACTTTTCTTTTTGATTTGTCAAAGTAATTTTTTTTAAGGGAATGAAAGTCATTAGATATTGCAAGCTTCTGATTATACGGCAGTTTTCGCAGAAAACACAGGGTTACTTCGTGATATTGTTCTTATTTTTTCTTGCATATTACGAGTCATAACTTGGCTTAGTTTTTGATTCTGTGATTGCTCCTGACAAAATACGCACTTTTGTGAATCAAAAGGTGTCCGCAAGGGACGTTTTTGAAAAATATCTGCTCTACAAAAATCTGCTGAAAAATCAGCTGTCAGTTTGTTATTTTTTGACTTGTACGAGGCAATGTTCTTTGAGCTCGTAAACGATTTATAACAGTTTTTGTGCCATTTTAAAAAACTTTGATTTTCTAGATCATCAAACTTTGAGAATATATGTCGCATATATTTGTCATCATGACAATTTGTCATACGTTCTTTCGTGCATTCAATGAAAGTTTTTTTTTGATTTTTCATGAGAGATAACCAGCTTCCTTCCAAACAAATAAGACACACATTTTGAATAAAAACGTCTTGTCCATTGACAATTTTACGAAAAGAAGGATTTTCGACTCTAGTTCACTGTCAGAGCTGCTGCTGATCGTTAAATCCATTTCTAGAGGATACAAAAAAATACTAACTGTACCTAATACTCACTAAGTAAGTTCTAAATATTGTTAACTTAGCAATAAGTTATTATTCGCTTTTAATAATATGATTTATAGACAAGAACTTTATCACTCATCACTAGTAATCTCAGTGGAATCAGCGCTACCAGAACAATGCATTCGAATTTACAACAAAACAGTGAATTCACGGTAAAATCGACCGTATCAACATCGCCCTCAGTAGAGTGGATTTTCGGTTGACACAGGCATAGCAATCTCGCCCTTCCCCGCATCTCTGCGCTAGCCGCCGTTCGTCGCGACATGCCGTTCGATTTATTCAATTTTCTCGTGAACCAATTATCCAATCAAAATTCTAAGAGAACCAACATGTTCTCTGATGTTTGGTCTTCAACGTTTATAGAAAGCTTTTTTTTGCTAGACCCAATACTTTTCGAGGTAGAGCGAGTTAAATGATTTTAAAAATATGGGTGTTTAGGGCAAGCGGTTTTGTGTGAAGGCGCTCCATATACAACAATGCTGCGACGTATTTTTATAAATTAAAAAAAAATATTTCTGATATTTGGATGGGTATGCAAATTTGAGGAATGAATTAACTCAAAGCTTAGACCTGAAAACCGATGAAAAAAAAAATTGGCTTTTTTTTAAAAAAAGGCTCCCCCCACTCCCCTCCAACTACGATTTTTGGACGACCAAGTGATTTTGCATTGCAAAGGTCTTAGGAATGATAAAACATGGGTTTTACATTTTAGCAACAAAGTGCCCACGAAAATCTATTCTAGAAGCCTTTTGCCAGTCTATTTACTCTACTACTGTAGCTTA